AGAAGGTCATTGGCCGAGTTGGGAATAGAACCCAGGTGTCCTGGCCACTAGAGTCTGTCAGTTAGAGGCCTGAGGGAAGAGGGGGACAGTGGGGTACTGGGGGGACCCTAGGGGATGTGGGCATTGGGCTGGGTACCTGAGTGCGCTGGATGTGGGCTCCAAGGGATTAAGAGGGCCGGGCCTGGGGCCTTACCTGGCTCTTACGGCGTGGCCCTGCCGGGCGCTGCCCCCGGCCCCGCTGGCGTTGAGCGTGGTGGCGATGGATGACGTTCGCTGGGGCACCTGGCAGGGGGGGAGCAGAGCGGTGAGGGGGGGGTCGGCCCCAGGAATCCTGCCCCCACCCCGCCCAGGGGAAGGCGGCTCAGGTCCTGTTACCTTGGGTGGGGCCTCCAGCTCGGTGCGGCCCCAGGGCCCCCGCTGGTCGCTGAGGCCGGGCCGGGTGGGCGGGGCGGGCGTCTCCGAGGTGGGGTCCGAGTTCTGGCGGATCATGGGGGCGCGGGGCGGCGCCGGGGCTGCCGGGTCCTGCACCGGGAAAGCCGCCACGTTCTTGGTGGGCTGGTCCTGCAGGGACTGGGAGCGTGGCACCGGCGCGGCATAGGGCTTCAGCGGCACCCGGTGCGCCAGGTGGCTCTGCGGGGAGGGGAGCTGTCAGTGCCGGGCCCCTGGGGGCCCCCCCGAGCCCTGCCAGAGCCCCCCCTCCCCTAGGAACCCGTCCGGGGCACCCTGCCCTCAGGGATGGAACCCAGGAGTCCTGGCACCCAGCCCCCGATGCCCATCCCGGGTTCGAGGGGAGGGAGGCAGCTCACACGGCCAGTAGGGCGCGCTGCTGCCCCCCCGCACCTTGTGCTGCCCCTCCTGCGGCTCGACGGGGCGCTGCATGGGCGGGCTCTGGGCTGCGGGGCCGGAGCCCAGGGACACGGACTCCGAGCGCGTCTGCAGGGCCGGGTCGGACGCTGTGCTGCCCAGCTTGGTCTGCGCTGCCGGCGAGTTCTGCTTATTCAGCCGTGTCCGCTCCTCCACCTGCAGGGGGCAGAGAGCATGGCAGGGAACCCAGGAGTCCTGGCTCCCAGCCCCCACTGCCCTCCCAGAGCAGGGGAGAGAACCCAGGAGTCCTGGCTCCCAGCCCCC